GAATAAGCGAAAGATTTAATGCAATAAATATCATCTTAGGGTTAGGATTAAGGTCAAGGGATGGGCATAGGTTATACAAAATTTCGCAAGGAATTTTTTTTGTTAGAACATGTAAAGCAGTTTTTTCAGATTTTTGTAAAAGGCGTAATTTTCATGTTACACCTGATCCTTCAATCTAATTGGCAAATCACGTGCCGGAAAAAATTTTGCGGGTGAGCTAGAGGGGTTGCAGAAACACGGGTTATAACATTTATGTGATTTGATTGGCTGATTTATGTAGACTATTGACCAATAAAATCAATTAAAATTTTTTCGAAATGAAGTAAAATCAATTTACCATTAACAAAAGCAAGGCTTTTTTTTAAAGCTAAAGTAATTCTAATCCATTTTTTTAACTATTATGCTTTACTAAAAGTTACTACCCTTGGACTATACTATCAATTAAACCGCATTACCATATTTACTATACATTAGAGATCTTAGTTTTCGTATAATTTTGACGGGAGTAGGGTCGATTTTACTGTCACGTGATACTCGGAAAACAGCCGTTGTTGAGCTAAACACTTTTTTATATTTGAGTTAGAGTTTAGGCTAAGGTTAGGAAAAACAGTAATATAGCAAAATTGCACAGGGAAAATTTTTTATGAATGCGATTTTTGCAAAGCGAACGTTTGTACACCTGATCCTGATCTTTGATTGGCTGATAGACGTCGGACAATCATGTGACAGTAAAATCGATCCTACGCCTGGCGTTGTTTTTGTTCAATAATGTGTAAAAGCACCCAATTATACTGTATAATTTATTAATTACTATATACATGTAAAAGTCACAGTTAATATATTTTATTTTGACACAAAATATTGAAACCATTCTAAAATTTGGTTCCAAGGTTTAACTTAGGTTTATATAAAAACCTAGTTAAATCACAGGAAAATATCCTGAGAATCATTATCATGTGTATTCTTAGCGACTAATTTAAGTTTTGGTGGTGGCCCAAGCTTATCTAATGTAAAATATAAAATGTAAGCTTATTCTTTTCATAAAGCGTGAAAAAATATCAAGACATACTACGTGGAATCTCTCTAACTTCCTTTGATGATTTTGGAGTGTCTGAACATGATGGTAATTTTATCATTTCTCGTTTTTGTGAAGGAGGTGGAGTCGTATTACAGGAGTCCTGTAGGTGTTGTATTTGATCATCTTCGTCATTGCTATCGGGCCGCGCAATCAAGCTAATCATATTCTCGACAATTTTCTAACAGAAATAATGTTTGTAAGATGAGAGATTAAAGCTAAAAATAGTATCAAAAACTTACCTTGGCTTTCCAAGCCATCACAATTACAGGAAGCGTTTTTTGCCCGAATTCTTTAATATTCGATGCGATAAAGTGAGATTTTGTTCGTGATATACGACATACATAACCTGCTGGTGAATCTAAACGTAGAAGTGTTGTCATAAGCCCTAAAGAAATAAAAACAAGCCCAAAAAAATTGTATGAAAAATTTTTAGATAGTGTAGTAAAGACAAATAAGGTGCTAAACTGAATTAAAAAGCATACCGGCATGGAGGAAACCAATCGTTTCCAGCTCACGGGTTTTGCGTTCATCATGATCGAAAGTATTGCATAATTGATTGAACATGTCCTTCATAACTTTAGGCATTTTTAAACCTCTTTCCAACAATAGCTTTGTTCCATTCTGTCCCTCAAACTGTCGACCTGCTTCTGAACACCCAAACTCGGTTGTGACACTACGGATTATCATATCACCCCTTCGCCCAATCATTTTCCTTTTCATATCTATTACAGCGGACACAGCCCTGTCACGATTTTTTCTAGAAGATGACAAGCTACACGACTCTCCTCTATTATAAATATTAGAGAAATTAGGTCATAAAAAGAAAAAATAATCAGAAGTTTTCTTGTTCTTACCTTACTATTTCCAATTCCTCAATATCATTAAACACTTTATCAATAAAACTCCAAACGTGGACAAGATACCAAAGTTCTAAATGATTTGATGACAAGGTATTTGATTCATACTCTTGTAATCTATAAAATGAGAATTCTAAATTAGAGTCAAGACCTTAAAACGAAAAACAAATTACACACAAATTACACACAAATTACACACAAATTACATACAAGTTGTATACCGTGTTGCGTATCCAATCTCGGTCAAAGTCTTTCGATCTAATAAAGTCTTCGTTCATTGAATCATGTTTAAACACTTGCTTTCGAAGCTCGGAGGTAGTTTGCTATTGAAGATAACACACTGATTTCAATAAATAATACACATATAAAAAAATATGCATATATGATGCATACATGATTGAAACTGTTGAGATATTTTAATAATTCGGAAGGCATCAATGGCATTTGCTTTGTCTGAAAACTGCGGATCTCTTGTAATTCGTTTTTAGTGAAGACTTTTTCACTTATGTATGTTTCGTCTTCCGGATCTAAGATGAATGAGTGAGCAAGACTTTTGGGATAATTTGTGAGAGAAATTTTATAAATCCTGGAAAACACAATTAAATCCAAGAAATACAATGAATTTTCCACTATATTTCCGGTGGAAAGCGTCCACTTTTTTTCCTGTTGCATCTCAGCGTACATTTCTTTATATTTTTTAAAATCTAACGAGGACAGCTCTCTCTTATTTTCGTCATCATCAATCTCTCTAATCTATAATAGTATATAGCATTAATTGCTAATTATATTATTAAATGCCTAAATCAACGTGTTAAATGTTTACCGAAAAGTCCGAAATTTCATTTGCACTAGAATCCTCTGGGTTTGAATTTATCTGAATTGTCAAAAGAACCCGCGCAATATATAGTAAGTTGCTTTTTCAAAGATATTAATCAATAATAACCTCACCTTTTTTTTTTCTTTAATGGTGCATTGTTTCCAAATGATGGCTCTTCACTATTTTCATCTAATACTTCCGTTCTACCATTTCGCTGATGTTTTTCGACGAGGCGATGATTATCAACTGATACTGTATAGCCTGAGCCTGTCGCAAGCACCTGCTGCTCTACCTGTTCAAATTAAAGGTTATAATTTTGGTTGACAAATTTTAGACTATTCCGAAACAAAAGTATATGTTTCATTTCAAATCTAAACCTACCGTCTGATAGTTAATTTCGAAGCGGGGAATATCTTTATTCATCGAGGTCTTCCAGATCTAAAATGAAATTGCACTTATGAATTGGCATTGTATGAAATAAAGAAGCATCGAACTAGCAGCTACAGCTTGTGCTCGAGTGTAGATTGACATTCAAATTTAGTTTTTACCCTCCAGCTGTTTATAATTTTTTGGGCTTCCCTTTTTCGTTTTGCGTCAAATGTTGATTTTGAAGATGATACAATTTGAAGGTCCTTTTTTATTTTGTCAAGCACTCTTGCCCGACTTTTATATCCTGAGTTCGCTTGATAATACTCTATAATATTTGCATACTTCCAATCTTTGGTCTCATAAAGTTTATAAAAATCCATCATTACGCAAAAACGGAACTTGATTGGTCAGATCTAGGGTTGGGGCAGGGACACAATATTTTAAGCTAAATACAAAATCATAAAGGCATGTACTATACGTATAAGAAATGTGGAAGGATATTAGGAGTTATGTATTTACGAACGCATATACGAATATTTACGTTGTATATAACTAGGAACCGGAAACCGGTTTAAGTCCGGAGCTCATTATTGTCATCTTACACAAACGCGTAAACGTGCATAATTTTGTTTACACAATGTACAAATATAGACACGCGGCGTTACAGACGGAAAATGCCGAAACTACTTTTTTGATCTTTTTATTATAGATGCATCAAAATCGTAATGTCAGTCATCAAAGCGCATAGAAGTATAAGTCCTCCGCTTCGCTTCGGACAATAATTTTATGTGCAACACCTCACATTCTTATATATGTTAAAATATTAGTCGAAATGTCAGGAAACTGGTAAATTACGTATCAATGTTTGTGGCAATTGCGGTGTCTCAACAAGAGATGTCAATAATGATAATCAGATTTCATGGCATAATATTGGACATTTGGACGATGTCCAATTTAGAGATTGTACCCGCTGAGAAATTTTCTACCCGGGTACTATTAAATTACCCGGTTATCCGGGTAATTTATTATGACCATATAATAGAAATGTCTACCCGGGTACAATCTCTAGTCCAATTTGTCCAAAGGATATAATAAATTTTTTATTGGAAATAAAAAAAAATTAGCATTGAAGGATTTTATGCAAATCACATAAAACATAATAGGCTGCATAATGCTGCATAAAGTATGAAGTATGTTGCTACGTACAGTGCAGATAGCCTAGTTTAGGGGCGATGATTTTATGAGTTTGCCAGGGCGGCCCCCCAAAGTTCGCTAATGATCGACATCACACTGCCGCAGCAGCTGCAGCAGCCGCAGCATATAATCAATTAATTCGTTCTTCGATATCATCGCAATATGAAAAGTTCATCGGTTTTTGAATCTTTGAACTTTTGATCCCCTTCTCTCTTCCCTCATCATCGTAATAGGATTTGATGCAATTATTTTCTTGGACTTACGGTAAGTAAAAAAAATAAAAAAGACAATATTTTACGGCTCAAAGAAACATACCGACCATATTAGGCGACTTAAACCTCTAGTTTTAACAAGCGTTAGGTTTGTGAGTCAAATATTTTTATATTACTATTAATTGTATATAGGGAGATACTTTCGGCTCAAAAAATAAAGTTTATTAACTCGATTATTCTAAAGTTTTATTTAAAGTAAAAATGCATTGGCTAATGCTTCAGAGGAATTCAATTCTGACTTTCTTGATACGAATCGATTTGGATTTGAAACCAGAAAGGTTATAGCCAAAAATCTTTGAATCTTAATCAACTCAGTTGTAAGGATGGTAAAACTTGTTTTTTTATATAAATTAAATATTAGTTGTAATATCGACTTTTATTCTATAGTAAGGCAGTTTTGCTACCTTTTCAACATTTTATAGACATATTTATCAAGTTTATTTTAAAAAAGATCAGCACGATCTTGTAATTAAATGTATTGTTTTCTCATTAAACAATACATGATTATCTTTTATTATTAATAAATTAATAAATATATGTAACCAACGAAGCATTGTCAGTAATTTGTATTAGATTTAAACATGTCTCGATTAGCACATAATTGTGTCATTGATTACGATGTAATAAGTTTAAATTCGTAGCGCCATTATATAATTTATTATCGAAATGGCTGAAAATAGTAATATTTACAAAAAAAATTTTTTTATACGTACGATTAGCTTAGAACTTTGGTTGCTATTATGTAGATCGAGTATTTTTAACCCTTTCGAAAACATCAATAATTACAATATAATTGTTTTATTGTTCCTACCAAAATCATTGTAATCGTTCTTCATAACTCAAAACAGTTTAAATGCTCGTTTCTGAATTTTTTTGTTCCTAAAAACTAATTTTGGGTCAAAATCCTGATAAGTTAGTCCGGCTATTGTTAGTTACAAATTTGTTAAGATTCTGTTTGTCAGGATTCTTTTTGTCGGAGTTTTGACCCGAAATAATAAAATTAACTAGTTTAAAATAAATTCGTCATTACCTTTGTCATTATCATCGCTTCCAACCATATTTAATGCAATCAAATGCAAACCTTACATTTTTCTTTTAAAAAGCTTATATTCATTATTCATTATCACTATGGATCAATTTCGAAGCCCATACTGTTTTTTAATTGCATATAACATTGTAATCGGTTCTTACCTAAATTTACAACAAAAGTTGAATAATTATTATTTGTATAAATATCATATTTTTTACCATGAGCGATATTCCAATATTCACAAGCTTGGGATCAAGGTTATACACACCTAAGATTACTACTTTTTAAGCCTCGTTCCTCAAACACTAATTCATTAGCTACATCTAAAATGAAAAAGTGTGGGAAATGTAATAATAAATGATTAGAAGACGAATTTGTTTGGAATGGTCTTCGTCACAAAACATGTATTATTTGTAGAAGGACATGTGATCTAAAAAGAAAGCAGAAACTTCAAACCACAATCACAAATTCGACTGATGATGTTGAATTAGTTGACCAATCTGACATTATCCAAGAAACAGATCAAGCAGATGATGTTGAATGCGTTGAAATCGATTATCTTGAGGTAAACGATTTTGTCGCAAATGATATCCAAGAACTAACTAAAGACATAAATACTGATGGCATAGCTGATACTCCCTACCAAGCGCAATTCTTAGTAAAAATAAGTTTAGATATACAAAACATGACAGCAAAAGAAATTGCAGACCTTGCTATTACTGAAATCGAAAGTGGTGATGACTATTCATGGATGTAGGTTCAATTCTTAAGTTTTTTTTTGATTTTTTTTTTTTTTTGATTTTTTTTCTTTTGTGATTTTTTTTTCTTTTTCGTTCGATTTTTTCTTTT